TTAAAACCGGTGAAGTGTTGAGTCACTTCACACTTTTTCCTCGCTCACATCCTCAACCGTTCTGTAAACTTTATCCTCTGCAGCACATCCACTCGTAACAAAAACCTGCCGTGGAGTGATCAGCTGTGGTTTTTTACATTTGTTTTCATTCAAATGACACGTGGGTCTCACACTTCCCCATCCAAGCCGACAGCTGTAGGGGCTGCGTTTGCCGGCCTAAAGCTGAAAATGCTTTCTCTTGAGACACTTCTTACGCAACCAAATCTAAAACTGACCTGCGGAGCTGCTCTGGGCGCTTCGCTGTTTGGCAGTCCTTGCACCTGAAAACGAGCAACGCCAACAGAGCAACTTGCTGAATTTGTTGAAAATACTGGGGGGTGAAATAGTAAATACAGATTCAGATTAAAAAAAATATATATATAATTTTTTTTTTTTTTTTCCACTGATAGCAAGAAAGCCTTTACTTTCTTAACAACTTTGGTTGCATTCTTATGGACTGGTCAGGAGTGATGACATCATCACCTCTGTCCAGGAAGTGTCAGTGCTTATGCAAAATTGTTCCAGCACGGCCAAAAGCGGTTACAGGATTTTATGAGCAGAAAGAGCTCCTGGAGGATGCAGTCCGTCCCACCAACGATGTCGTTCTGGGGACTGGCACCCGAAGCAGTTAATATTTCATCAGGACTTTGGGAAAAAAACCTCTGTAGCGGTATCACTCCTTAGCAGAAAGGTGGTTTGTGCTTGCGAGTGTGATCTTAAAAGGCACTCTTTTATTTTAGGTGACAACTTTATTCAGCAAGAAGAGGCAAGGAGTTGTACTTCAGTCATCTTGTGCAATTTAATGCACGTTTCTGGCAAATTGCTTCACGCCAATCTAAGCCTGATCACTTGAATGAAGTTACACTTCCCTGAATTTCCTATCTATCCACTTCAGAATGCACACACGGTACCAGGTATTGTGTTACAACAAAACATGCAACAGTGAATAATCTCTACATCAGGTGCCTAGAACATGTAATTCCATCGTTTACAACTTTACTGATGGGGAATACATCCATTATGCCATCTCCCACAGTAATTCCCTGCATATTCGAGATGATCCCTCCAGACCAGCATTTTCCTTACACAATAGCTGCGTGTGACCAGACGCAGCACAGTCCCAGTGCTAAGAGCAATTACATACACAAAGAGACAACTAAAGTGCAAAGCCTGTGGGATATATGCTTTTTATTTACGTTACTGCAGGAAGAGATTACTGATGAAGATGAGTACTTTCATTAAGCTTCAGGTGCTGCCCACTGCATTGCTTTTAAATAAAAATGCTTACTTTTCTATACAGACACAGCAAAGTAGTAAGCAAATTTATAACACATTCCTATAATATATCAAAATGTTTCCAAGGCAATATTATTAAACTTACACCACAGTTCCCAGTAACATCAAGCTTCATAAAGGAGGTGGTACGGAAACTTTATCCAGTTAATAGTTTTAAGTGCTTTTCTTTTCTTCACCCAGTAAGTTGACTGTTGCTTTCTTGGCTGCAGGAAAACAAAAGCAAGTTTAATCTTAGAGGGCTACAGGCTAAGGGGCTTGTTCACCGTTGCTGAGATGCATTAAAAAGAAGAAAAACAAAATTCTTTCAGGTCACAAAAGAAACTTAACAAAAGAAAACCAACGCACGCGATTTCTTAAAGAAGGGTACGTATGTGGGAATCTTGACAGGCAAATAGAGGAATGAGGACAGAAAAATGCCATGTGCAACATGAAAGAACATTATTTAAGATACCTGTCTAACAACAATGATTCAGGACAGGTCATCCAGCAAGGTTTCCAAGCGTAGCTGAGAAAGGCAAATCATGTAAATACCAGCAGCAGAACTGCTTAAGTTGGTAAGAGGAAATGAGGCTGCAGGCATGGTGTGGGGGAAAGGAGGCTTAAAGTGCTTTAAATATAAGTAAATTTCCTTTCAAATGCAATTTAATAAACCTTTATTTTAGCTACGTAACACAATGCCTTCTCTTATTCATAAAACTATCATCAGACATTTTGGAGTAGGAGGGTCCACTATGGAATGCAAGGAAGTAAGAGGAAAAGTTAAGCAACATACAGGCTGTGATAACATCTGTTCTAACCAAATAAAAACCTAAACCTAAGTAATTTCTTTAAAAGTGGGCTCAAAATCCTTTGACCTCCAGAGGAAGGAAAAGTTAAAAAACATACGGATGTGAAAACTTAATTTCACATGTTGCCGTTTACGGGAGTTAAACGGATTTGCTTTTCTACACAACTGGCAGCCCTTCTAAACTACCAGGAATCTGAGGCAGTATTTTAGGAGATAACTTCCATAAATAGGGTTATTCTTTCGGCGTCTTCTTGTACCTCGCGGGGATGTTTGGACCTGCCTCTAGAGCGGTATGTATGGTGGGAAGACACAGCCAGCGATTAGCCGTTTCTTCCACTCATACAGCTTGCATTTATCCTAGTGTAACTGCACTCCTAAGAGAGTAAGATCCACTGCAGTCCTCTTTTCTTGGCATCTTTGCCCAGATTTCACTTCTCCATTATAATTTATATAGTCTTCTCACAATTATTTTCCCCTCACGTGATGAATATGAACCATATTATTAGAGTTGCCCAGGGAAATTCATCCTACTTGATGTGATGGGGAATGGTCTTTTCCTCACCTTCTTTAGTGATGGTATCCGCAGTCTCTGCAGCCTTGTCCTTCAGGTCTTTGACAACACTGTCGAGCTGAGCTTCGTGCTTCAGGAAGAAAGGCCGGATAATTCGATGGTAGAGGAACTCTGCCCCGTTAGAAGGGCTGGGAGCCATGCACCAGAGCAGGAAGCCACACTGCACGGAACGAGAACATCTGCGTAAGCGGGAGAAACGAGCGGGAGGCAAGGTGTCAGGTGCCTTCCTACCGCTGCCACAGGCCTGAGCCTACTTGGAAGGGTGCCTGTTCCCCTGGATTTTGCATGGTCACAGCCCAGGAAGGCTGCACATCAGCCTAGTTACACACAGTGCATCTTTGCGTTGGAGTAATACCACGGATACTGACAGGATAAAGGAGGAGGGCTGCAGCAGCAAAGCTGGTCTGGTAACGGGTGTACTTTTTTAAGGTAGAAGTGCAAAACCTGATTAAACAAAACATCGGTATTTCTGGCTACTTCTAAACTATGTGGCACAGGCCCGACTGAAAATCTAGGGCCCTAAATCACTTAAATCCAGCCGAAACGTATCCCTGTCCCCTCAAAAAAAAAAAAAAAAAAAGGCGAACACCAGAGCCCGTCAGGTAATATTGCTGCATCTGACAAAGGGGACTGGAAAAACACCTACTGCAGGTGTCACAAATACCTGTCTTTGCTACTGAAGCACCTTTGTTTGGCTTCAGTTCCACCGCCACACACAGTAAAAAAAATAGCTGTGCAAAACCAGATCGAACCATTGAAGGGACAGGAAATGCCAGAACTAAATTTGCTTAACCTCCAAAAGTATGTATCTAAAAAGATTTTATAGGATAAAACTGCAAGAAAATTAAGCGTTTTCTCAGCAATCGTACTGTTCTTTCCAGACACAAATAGCACAGTATTATTCCATGTCAAAAGCCTCTCCAGAAAATAAACATAAACCAGTTTTTCACACACCACGTTCTCTTGAAACACAAAACAAAGCCACCCCAGCCTCAGCCAAAATGTGCTTTATTTTAGTGTTAGACATGATTAAATGTCTGGGGATTCCCACACATTTTTCCAAGGAGAGGGAAAAACACAACAAGAAAACCCTCAACCCTTCCTCCTGAGGAAGTAAAAAAAATCACATCATACAGTTAGCTAAATGAGGCACCAAAAATCTTTTAAACTACAATAAACCCATCAGCAATTTAAGAAGTCAGCATTTAAATACGGCAGCACTTATTTAAATAGCTTAGATTTCAGAAGCCTTCCAGTTTTCACAGCAGCCAGAGAGATGTCTCAGTGCATGTGCTAGAGCTTCTGGAAGTCATCTAAAAAACATAAGCAAAGTCTTATTTATTTATGAGGTTTCCGGTATACTGCATAGCGCAAAACCATCTCCTGGAAACTAGTCCGATCGCAGCTCCCTTTCAGAATTCCACGGTGCCTAGCCCGACACTTGCTTCCTCTCCTTCCCTCGTCCTCTTGATTTCCCACTGCGAAACTGCAGACGAACCACACCCAAATACCTGTTTCGGTGTTACGTAAGAAACTCCTGAATAATCATTTGACCATTACAAGGTGATTCAAACCAAGAGAGGTTATTTTTAGAAGGGAGGTTCTGATCCGAGTTTAACAACAACAACAAAAAGGATAATAAAATCCCTTTACAATTATGAAAACCACAGTCTTCTTCAGGCAACCCTTTTGGAGTATCCCCCCTCTTATCCCTCTGTTCTTCCACAGGTAAGGGGCATGGGGACTAAATGTTCTGTAGGTTCTGCTCTTCGTACCTGTAAAATATTTGTTTTGTCCTCACAGCAGTGCACACCACGGTAAAACACACGTCAGCTGAAGAAAACACCTACTGGTTTTGGAGGAGATTGCTCCTCCTTTTTAATTTGAGGCCACTTCTCATGCCCCTTGCCCTGGAGAAGAATCCGATATATTTGGAGCTGGAGAGGTACCCTGACAGGCTGTCCCACTGATTCCTGGGAATAACAACTGCCCTCTGTAGAATATTTTGCCAAACCAACTTACCATCCCTTTAGGTAACCTTTAAGCTTTCTTCTTTAAACTATCAGAACAGCACGACTTGGAGTGTTTGCCCGGAAGACAAAAAAGAGGTTTTCCAAAGTAAAGTCTTCACCAGTGAGACACCCACCAGGAACATTTCAATGAATTAACAGAAATAATTCAACGTGCAGTAAGATGTGGCACCAGTAACAACTGATGCAGTATCATTAAGCATGGCCAGAAAAAATAAAGGCAAAAAGTGATGGAATATCAATTTTCAAAAGGTGATGGAGTATCAATTTTCAAACGGTTCTATTATTTGGAACTTAGTAAGACAGAACCATTTATTCTTTCTGTTTTATGTTGCTATCTTTCATTAAAAGCTGAGAAGGATATTATTTCCTTCCAAAGAACCTGGCCAATACTGATAGTTATTTTACTTGCCCCAATACACAAAGACGTTACTTAGTTCCCCTTTGTTTTAGGAACACCTTGGCTGTAGTCTCCTCTGAACAAAAGAAACTGAAATTTCCCTTTTCTTAAGAACAAAATTAGTCATTTTGATTTTACAGCTTTGACCCAGTCTAATCAAGAAAAAAAAAATCCAATATTTTGCAGTTATATATTTGTTCTCTAATGCCTATTACTTCTGAAACGTACCAAAACACAGGCTTACATAGATTTTCTAGAGGACACGTACCAAAGTTGCAAATCTGAGTCTTTTCAAAGCTTGAGAATGTCAGACTGCTAACTTAGTTTATTCTTCTCATCTCTTGTGAAAATGAACTAATGTAGACTATTAAAAATAAGGTGGTTTGTAAAAAGATCCAGAAAACTCAGAGCGATGAAGTTGTTAACCGGAGCAAACAAAAACAAAACTATATTCTTTGTGACACTCCAGGCCATCCAGAGGAGGGAATGGAATTCATGCAATGGAATGACTTCCCAAGGCAGAAACAGCATTCCAACATTCCAAGACAGAACCGTTAGTGGGGTCAGGAGTCTCCTCTCCTTCCCACTCCTAAGAATCCTCCTAGGATGATAACCACTGCTACTGTCACTGGCTACAGTATTTTGACACCCAAATGCCAAAGAAGCCTTGAAATAATTAAGAGTATTGCAAAACAGATGACATCATACACATGAAATCGTGAGTTGCATGTGCATCCTGTGCTTCAGAGAAAAAAAAGCAGATAAACAGTAAGTAGGCCTTACAAAAAAAACCCGTAAAATCCCAGAGATCTCAAAACAGTTTTCAACTAGATAAAATCACAACACGTTAGAAAGAGTTCTTGAACATGCCTTTCTCCCTATAAAAACTCCGAGTGTGGTGAAAACGGCGGTGACAGAGCCTAGGGTCTGGACTTAGGGGAACGTGGGAGGAGCTATGACCAATGTCTCAGCTCTGCACGTGAAGTGTATGGAAATATCGAGCAGCTAAAACTCAGCCTGGAGTGAAAGCCACAAGCTGTATCCAATAAATGTGAATATGCAAATTTAGCACCTTTGGAAAAGGAAAGTCAGCTTGAAATTTTCATGAATGACATACGACGTTATGAAATAGAAGCCCAGATAAGAGACATGGAGACATCACAAACTGCGATACGAAAGGTTTTCATTGTGGGTGGACTGCTGCTTCCTCCTTTCCCCACATGGAGTAACTTCCATCCTTACCCCCCCCCCCGGGTCAGCAATGCTTTCTGGCTCTCAGCCAGGCCTTCTGTCTGCCTTATCACAGCAGTAAACCTCTCCTACCACCCAGTACTGAGAGTAAATACTTGACTTGTACGTGCCTATAGCAGCTATCACAGAAAGCTGTGCATTGCCTGTAATTACTTCCTCGTGTTTGCTTTTGCCGAACTGGGAACAGTACCTGCCATTTGATGCCACCACTACAGGTAAACGTGGCACTTCCCTCCACAGTACTGCAAGAGCCACCTGTGGTTGGGCTTTATTTGCCAGGTCAGCCTTCGTTTCAACCGCTCGCTCTTCAGAAAGAGTGCTGTGCTGGCATGAAGAAATTCTTTCCGCATCTTTCACCATCAAGAAGTCAGGAAAGAAGCTCTGAAAACAGACTGCAAGAATTCAGAACTGTGCATACACCACCACTGCGGACAGGAGGTGAAGTCATAATCCTGCTAAACTGTGAGGTGAAGTTGGGGATGTGAAGTAACTGCGTCGGTGTTTAAGAACAGATTCTTCCAGCCTCGTGGGCAATCCTTTTGCACCCTATTCGGATCAGACGAAACTGCGTGTTGATCACTATTTGGCTTGGTCTTAATATATTAAAACAGTAAAACTTTCACATATGTTACCCATGCTAAACTTTAAAATTAGCAGATTCTTCTTAAAAACGTTGCAAAACCGTTAAGCCTAAAATGGAAAACATATTTTTGGTTTTGATTAAGGGAAAAAAATACAGGGGGTGAGGAGAGAGAAGTATTAAATAGGGGCGTTTTTTAGGACCTAGAGAAATAAGTGCCCAAATGACTGCACAGTTGATGCCTGTAAAAGATTCAAAAGGAACAAGGCAGAAGTGTAACCAAGCTGCCCCCGTCCATTTTTGTCTTTAAAATACAGCATTTTCTCGAAAAAGCATTTGGCAACATCAGACCTTACCATTAAAATTTTATATGACCCCACCACAATAGCTGGCAAGCAAATCCTTTCAAGAACTTTGGTGGGGCCAAACCACGCTAACAAGGCAAAAGAGAACAGCTCACTGCAGCAGAAAATAGGTTAACAGTTCTTTAAGCTAAACAGCTGACTACCCAGCAAGGTAGAACGTCTTCTACCCAACAGCACACACGCTAACTGGCTAGCTCCTACAATAATTTCACGTTACAGCTGACTGACAATACACTCACACCTCAGCTGACAAACAAAACTTGGAACGCATTAAGCACGTCACTGCTGGCAGTCAGAGCACACCGCCAAACACGCGTAAGCAACAAGCTCCTCCAATACCTGCCGTTTCCTTTCAGGAAAGCAGGCGTAATTACAAATGAAGTCTGTATGATTCAAACCATCCTTGTGTTGCAATTTCCTTCTTAGCTCCCAACAGCACAGACGTTAATACCTCCTTTTGCTGCCTCTGTGATTTTACTCTCCATTTTCACTCCTGCACTTAAGGCAAAACTGGAGCCACCCTGTACGGTTCACCACGCGCTGTCACTTTGCCCAGATTTACCTGAACGCCAAGGCACAGAACTCTTTCCACAGTACAGCTACACTGTCTCTGTTTTCTTAAAAGATAGCAGACCTTTCCCTGCCACCCATCCCAACTTCCCTTCTTGCCTCACAAAACCACCAGCCGTAAACAGATCACTTTCACGGTGCTAAATTACATGTAACCAGCGTCTAAAAATACGGTGTGACCCAAGAATGATTCCAAGGGAATCTGTTGCCATTCCTGAAGACATCGCAGGTTATATCAAAGGTCCCATTTTAGGAGAGGGGTCACATGAACTAACATACCTTTATCATATAGTAGAAAGGGAACCAGGACAGAAAGATATCGGAGAAGAATTCCGCTATGCTGAAAACACCATACACAACCCAGTACGTCAACCACTGCGTGTCATCGTCTTTGTTGGGGCTTTCGATGGCCTTGATTCTGCAAGGAAAACAGAACAAGTGAGCAGATCAGTAGCAGTCTCAGCTATAACAGCCAAGCTTTTATGATTTGTTGGTACATGTGAATCCTCGTAATTTAATTGCTCTATATGGTCTATAGAAGGGAACTAAGTATCTATCATACGATGTGACCATGATCTTTGAACAGCAAAGCTTTTCCCTGCATGTCAGACCTCAAAAAGACACTCAAGCTCAAGATCTGTGATTACCCCAAAAAAAAACCCCACACCATAAACAAAAAAACCCTAAACAAACAAACAAACAAAAAAAAAAAAAGGTGAGCAACCTGACCTTCCTCTTGAGACAAGGAAGAGGGGATAAGCTTTGGATAGTTCCAGTACCGGATGCATTGTGGCAATCCCGACCAGACGACTATCTTAGATTGCAGCACTACTGATCCTTGTAACAGTTAACTTGACCAAACCCATGCCTGTGCTGCACGTACCGGGTGGCCATCAGGGCTGTGGGGCACAAATTCCCTGGCCATAGGACAAATTCAGCCAGCTCGCTGAAACAGAGGATCCTGCAGGCAGCTCCCACTGGGTACCAGCAACTGCACCGCCTAACTGGTCTTGCTGGTATGTAACAGTGAACATCCTCCCTCTCTGACAGGAGGAACGATGAAGAGAGGTGTTGTCTTCAAAGAAAAATCCTACAACAGCTTCCATTACCAAAACAGGTTACCCTACAGATGAGGTCTGCAGTGTGCTGTGTGTGGAGTGGAGGCCCACGGAACGCTGCACAACCCGAACTTCCCAGCTTCTACAGGTGTATGAGATTGTCTATACCATCCCCTCATTCTTTATAGGGTTAGCTCTAATAAGGAGCATTTTAAATGAAGCCTTACAAAATCCGAAAGCCTTTCTTAGTGGGATCATAACAGACCAGCACCTCCTGGTGCAAACAGCATCGAGTTTATGGTTTTGAAGCAAATCTCAAGTATCTTTACTCACAATGTACATGCACTGCATTCCCCCTCTGGGAAGGTAAACCACAAGATTTACTCTAGGTACTAACAAGCGCCTGGTCAGCAGAAGCAGAGGAGACCCACTACTCCCCATCCCTTCCAGCAAGGACTATCTATCTGCATCACCAATGGCTTTGCTCCGTAAATCCATTCCTACAGGCCTTGCAAATCCTGATGAAGACTGTGGTGTTATGAACAGTGTGGGGCAAACTCTAGTCAAGTCCTGGGCTTCCTGCATAATGACTAACGGGGTTTTTGTTCTCCAACTGCTGGAACGCCGCTCAAGTTTATAGCGTTCTAAAAATAGGAAGTTGAAAGAAAGGCGCACATGTGCTTCCTTCGGTAAACGTAGTGAAGTGGAGACTCGGGACTCGCTAAGTTTCAGATCAGCACTGTAAGACGTTTTACAAGGAAATGCTAGCAACTGTGAGCCTAATAATGTGAAGCTTAAGAGTTTTAAAAAGCATTTGTCCTTTCCACTCAGGCTGTAGGATTGAAATCTGTAGACTCGGTTTAATGACTTTAGTTTTAATTCTGCTACAATTTATTCCTTTAGTATCAGCTATATTGCTGCTGAAGCAGCATCTGTGGGATATTTCAAAGGTGCAGAGTTTTCTTTTAGTCCATAAAAAAGACTGAGAGTCAGGGAGGTTCACAAAATGGAAACCAGATAAATGGCTGGCTCTGAGTACATTTCCTGCTTTGTGAGTTGAGAAACCCTTGGACTCTGCCACTTCCTACTTCTGCAAAGGGGTGGGGGTGGTGGGGAGGAGGAATATATCAGCCATGTGACGTGACACGTTTTAGCAGAAGCACTGGCAAACCCACCACCCCAGACAGAACTGGCGCAGATCGAATTACTCTGAAATGCAATACGAGCATCGGATACTTAATTTATGCGTTATTTCCATTAGAATCTGTGGCTGGCCAGTAGCGTCCTGCAGTGGGAAGAGCAACAGCCCATGGTGCACAGTAAGGCACTGTTACTGAAGTACTGATTCCGGAAGAACAGGTTTTCCACAGGTGGACAGGAGCAGTCTCCTTAGTGCTGTTCCTAACAAGCAGTGTTAGGAAACAGTACTCCAGGCAGTTTGCTCAAACACAGTGACAGCTTCGGCTGCTCCTGTCCTCCCACAATAAACCGCATTTTCTATGCCTCCACCTCTCCGGTATTCCAACACTGCCGGCTGAGGAGGCCCTACGTAAAACCAGGCCAAACAACACGGGAGGTGAGGCAGAGGGCTGCCGACCTACTCTCAAGGTGTGAAACGGTACTTCTGGAGGGAGAGAAAAAGTACAAGTTACTGGCAGGAAAGTTAGAGTGGCGGATAAACAGAGGAGAGAAAGGACTTAATTGCAAAGTTAAGGAAAATTTAATCTAAGGGCTTGTCGTGTGAATGTCTCTCAACTTCTCCATTACAGGCATATGAGGGCAGGGTTTATTTTACCAGAGTAAGGATACTAGCTTGGTGTTTGTGAGAGAACCCTGCAGCAAAACCTCTACTAGTCCCGCTGTTTTCCAGTCACATTCTGAAGCCATCCATGGATTTAAGGAAGCATCATTTAATTTTTGTTAGCGTTACTGAAGTGGTCTCAGCAATCACAAAAATCAGTTTTCATAAAAAAGCTTAGAACCTCCTATTCTGTGGCAAAGGGCAGATGGCATACCACCGTGCTAATGACGCCACGCTGTTATCTCCTCTGCTGTAAGAACGGATGGCCTTCGAGAGTTCCTAAAGGCAGTGCCCTGGGTGTGCTCCCTTTCAACGCTCACCACCTGCCGCTGCAGTTCCTCAAGGCGACCGCCTTGAAGGGTATAGGTGAGCAAAACACTTCCACAGTCTGACAGTCGCAAGCAGTGGTACCACAAGCAGTCGAAAAACCCAGCCGATGTGTAGCATTAAATCCACACATGGCGTTTTCCTGCGCACTGTAGGAAACAGCGTATCTCCCCTCCTTCTATAATGGTCCGAGCTAGATGGGCACGGCAGGACAAGCTCAGGTGGCAGATTCCTTCTGCACCCACTGAGGTAACAGCCAGAAACATCAGTTCAGAAGGAAGGGCACAAACCGTATCTGTTAGCCATGACTCCAGTCCCAATCCCATTTAGTGGGAGGGAAGGAAGGAAAAAGCAGGATACAGCAGGGCCATCAGTGAATGGAAGTTTTAATTCAAGTCAAAGAAAGGCACCTATTTTATAAATATTCTGCTTCTAGGAAGCATGGGAAATACGTCCCTCAGCTAAGACTTCCAGTGGAAATCCAGTCTAACATGTCCCTGTTAAATAAAAGGGCAGAAGTTCTCCATCCCTTGCCATTTACATGCTATTTCAACAGTAAGTCACAGAAAATACTCCTTATCCAAGAAGTACAGTAAATTACATAGCGTATCTGCACGGATAGGGTTTTTTATCCATTTATAACAACACTTTTCAACATGAGAATCCACCCTAATTAGACTTACACCTTTAAGTTACTCTACGAGTTATTAGATATTATCCTGGTGTAATGCTCTGCACAATTAACCTCAGGAGATACATCACACATGCTACTTCAAACCAAGAACATTTTATTCTTCTCCACGTTAAGCCATGAATTGATCAGCCCAATACTCAAAAGTCAATCTCCATCAGTAAGTGAAAAGATACAAGAAGGCAGCCAGTGTCTGTTGATCTGTAATGGTTATTTACATGTTGCAAGTGCAAATGAGTCAGACTCATTAGCACATAACATGAAGATTTCCTAACAAAGGAAGGAGCACCCAAAGCCTATAGTTTCAAATTTAAAAAGAAAAGCAATATGGTCAGGTTTTTGTAAGTTTTTTCTAGTAGTGGTTTGACTAAATTCCATGTTAGTTGTGCACAGTAACTACACACCACAAAGGGTGCTTACACACTAACTGTAGAGGACTTTAAATAAAGCCTCAACTATTTACAGTAGTTCTGCACATTGGAGGTTAAGTGCAGTCACTAGGAACAGCTTGGTAGACTGGATAATAAACATCACAGCCCAGTTATTTTAAAAACAGGTGCCTCTCCAACAGTGAAAATGGCTTGCCGTGGGCCAGCGCTGCAACTTGCGCAGACAGACAGCGAGCTAAGTAAAACCCACGATTTCAGCCAGATCTATCCCCCGACGACCCTGCTAGCTGGTCACGTAAAGAGGGAAG